CATGATATGATATCTTTCCATGAAGATTTACTGTGCTTTTTTAGAGAAGGCAAAGGCAAGACGTCTCTTCTCTTTGGAACACTCCCCGTGAGTGTGTCCCATGATCGAAGCTGGCGGGGTGGGGTTAGTACCACCATCGATATTGGTACAAAATATTGTCAAAGAGAAGGTTTGAGAAACTGGACAGAGTTTATTAGGACTGTATGGAATTATCTAAAGGTTGGACAGCGTTAGCGTTCCAGATTTTAGCTTAGGAAGGCTTAGGCTTTTTTTCTAACTTAAATTTCCCTCTGATAAGCTTTTGAACATTTACGAGTGGTACAATTTGCATTTATAATATTTTTTTTTCTTTCTGAAAGATGAAAAGGTGATTTCTTTTAGAATAGTAATTGCTGAAATTCCTAACCTTGGCTTCCCACCCTGAAATGACACAAACAAGTTTGAATCCTGCTAGGAACAAAAATTTAGAATAATGCTCTCCATTAGTGATCAGAGAAATTTACTTTTACCTACCAGAAGCTCCTCCTGGAGCTGCGAGCCACCTGGGGTAGGAAATACTACCGGGTGAAAAGAGTGGAGCCATCAGTCAAAGAGAATTAAGTGACCAGTTAGAGAATGGAGGAGTCTGAGTATTGGAAAAATAACATCAACTTTATTATCTAGGGTATGTCTTAAAATATAGTCTTATCTTAAAAAAAAAAAAAAGGCATCCATTGCTCTAATTGCCTAAATTAAGATTTAAGGTGGAGGTGGAGAGAAGGGGCTGACGTGGGGCTCCATGACTAACTCTCCAGGTGCCTCCCACTCCATACTTGAGGCCTTAGGAGAAAAGAATGGGAAGTAAGAAAGGAGGAGGAGGAGGAAGACAGTTGGCAATGTAGGCAAAACGGATGGATGTTGGCTGAGAGGATACCACTCAGGAGCTGTCGAGAAGCAAAGTAAAGGAGCCAACACAAAGGGGAGTAAGTCCATCGCCAGTTGGGTGCTCAGTTGGTTATGTTGCTCTGAGCACAGATCTGTTCCTGTCACCTCATAGGACACTGTATTTCCTCTCCGTGTGGAAATAGTGGGATGGTCTGGACCAGGAGTCAGGATGTGAGTTCAAGTATTGGCTTCCCAACCTACTAACCATGAGCTATCGAACATACAATAAATACAAGAACAAGCGATGTATTTGAAGCAGAAATTTCTGGTCCTTGGAAGACAGGGATTTTACACATCAAAATAGTCATTTAATTTTATTTGAAAATCTTGTCTCTATTGACAATGCATAAAATTAGTTAATAAATATCATGTTGTCGGGTCAAACCTTGGAATGAACAAACACACACATGTGCGCACGTATAACACACACACAGCTTCATTCTTCGATTTCTCTAGAATTCATGAGAAAGGATAGTTTCCATTCAAACTCAGTATTAGAGAAAATATCATCCGAGGACAGCTAGCTGAATTAAATTTAACTGACATCTCACCTATCAAAAATATTTAAATAGTGACTCATGTACATTGCTACTTGTAATTTTTTAAATTCCAAGTGTTATTTGGTAATGAATGGTAATGAGAAAATCACACTGTCAAAATAAATTCATAAAATGTATAATTATGACAAGGATTGAATTATATGTAACTCCAGATCCTTAAAGGCTATGGAGGATTCCTAGAAGTTGAAATACATAAAAGTAAATACTTGAAAAGAATTTTAATACAACTGGATGGTCCTCAACAATAATGCCTTAGTTTTAAAAATGCTTCTTTAATATGATCTAAAAAAGGAAGAGAATAAGAATTATTGTGTGCATATCTTATGTTATTTTTTGAAGGTTACTAATTTTCTTTGCCTTCATAGTGAAATATCCAGAAATCACATGAAATGAACTGAATTGTTTGCGTGCTGTGACACTCAAGGTGTTTTATACCAACTCAGTCACCGTTCTTTCCAGAGTTGTCTGTTGAATTCCTTATACACCTGTGAGCGGGCAGATCCATTTTGTAGGCCAAATGCAGCTGGTTCTCGCTTACCAGCTAAACAAGGTCCTGAATCCTATACTTAACGTTCTAGCCAGATTTCATGGAATATGATAGTGGTGGTCATGACGCATTGGAAAAGAATTATAACATGCAAATTTAGCATTTTATACAATTTAGGCAACTTTCAAAATCAAAGCTATAAATTAAGAGGCCAGATCAAAGTATGCAAATGTTATACAAGCTTACTATATCCTTTTGGGTAGGAATTCACTGTATCACTTTATATACAATATATATTTAGTACATGAAAAAGACAAGGACAACTGCTGTGATTTTTTTTTTCTTTAAGAAGCACCAAAGCACCAGATTCTTTCTAAATATTTTGATAGAAGAAAATGTACCTTGCAAAGGTACCAGCCCAGATCTGTTTTATAAACTGAGACAATCTGGTTGTTAATTTCCATTTTAAGGAGTATATTCAAATCATTTCTGCAGTTCTGAGAGGACTTTTGCTGGGCCTTGTTTATTTCCACCTTCCGGGTCCCTCCCGAGCACAGAGCAGACTCTCAGCAAATGCTCATGGACAACACTGTTGAAAGGCAGGAACAGCACAAGAAATAATTTCTTTAATGTAAATAAAAAGCTAGGCTTTCTCAGAAAAACCAAGAATGTATATAACCTCAAAAATTAAAATCTATAATCTTCCATCATGATAAAAACATTTGTGACTGTTCTGGTGTGTTGCCAACACTGGCTGTAAGTTAAGTGCCAAGTATTAGTAGAAATTTCCGGAAACTCTGTACCCACTGAGTATTCAATAAATGCATTTTAGCCCTCCCCAAGGCTATTTTCTTCCTCTCTTAGTTCAAACTGCTCATCACTGTGGAATGATTCATGAACACATTCAAGTAAGGGGAGAGATTATTATTTCTTTCTGTAGAAGGGCAGAGGGTCAACGAATTAAGAGGGAAGTTAAGTATTCACCATATATTGAAGGGTTTTGCTTTGCCAATCACAAGGTAACTCAGAACTAAGAGATAAACCCCTAAACCTGGTTGCATCTTAACTAAGAAAACCCAATTTGGCTACATGAAACTCTTTCTAAATGAGTTTTTTGCTTCCTACGTTGTGGTTGCTCCTTGCCACATTCAGCAGCTGAAGCCAAGCCTCTGTGTGTGGGAACAAACCAACCTTCTCTCTAGGTCACAGCCCAGATGCTAAACTCAGCCAGATGACCTACCAGGGGGATTCACAAACCTACGCGGTCTAGCTTCTTCATCTGACTTTTCATCAAATGGTGCTGAATGCACGCTAAGGGCAGTGGCCTACCTCCATTAATCAAACATCTTGAATGCGTAATTATGTTACTGTATCATTCAAAGAGAATTTTAACTGACAGAGTGAACCAGGTCTTTACTGACCATACTTCTACAATTGATTCTGAGGCACTTTTCCCATGATCAGGAACAACAGACCATTTCCTTTTCTTTCCTTTCCTTCCTTCTTTCCTTCCTTCCTTCCTCCCTTCCTCTTTCCCTCCCTCCCTTTTTCTCTTTCTTTCTTTCTCTCTTTCTTCTTTTCTTTCTTTCTTCTTTTCTTTCTTTCTTTCTTTCTTTCTTTCTTTCTTTCTTTCTTTCTTTCTTTCTTTCTTTCTTTCAACTCTTTATAAGTCAAAGATGCTCAGGAGGGAAAAAAAAAAACTACCTATAATAGTTGCAAATAACTGAACTAAGAAAATCAGGTATAAAAAGTGAGAAGTGTCTACAGTTTTAGCCTTTGGAAGGAGTTATAGTTCTGGTAGGGCAGGAGGTTTCTGAAGGATAACAGAATGTAAGAGGTTATAAAATAAATGTCTCAACAGGGAGTTTTGGAGAACTGTAAATTTGGCTTATGGTAAAGCTTTGCCAGAGAAATCATGTCCAAAGATCATTATTTTGTGACCTTGAGGAAAAGCAAAATCATTAGAGGATTTCCTATTCCTGTCTGTGAATACGTCGATATTTATGGAGGCAGACTCACTTTATCTCCCTCTATGCACGCACATTTACACGAACACGCCACTCTTCTCAAGACTGGAAGTTGGGAGCATTGTTATAAATATTCATGAGATAATTATTATTAATGTCACCAAAGTGATTTTGTTCCTCCTCAGGAGAGACTGGTTTTTGCACCTAGAAACCAATCAACTGTAGGAGAAATGACAGCTTTGAGGCAGCCAAGCTAAAACAATTCTGTACATTTTATGTTTGAAATATAGATTATTTGACTGTGTGTTCTTCTGAGTCACCCTTTTGCCCTCATCTCATCATTAAGTTTATCCAGCAGAGATTTCAAACTTTGGTACAAAATACAGCATCCTTGGGAGCACAGTTTCCAGAGATGGGAAAAACTGTATCTTGATTATTACATTCTTTTCTAAGAGCAAAAATTAAACAAAAGTAAAGATGATTCTAAGGCTTCTCAAGAGGTTTCTGGGGGATGATTTTTGCAAAAGTGCATTGAGAGAGAATTAGAACGTACTTGCTACTTTTATTATTTAAAAAAACATTTCATACAACAGACTTTATTAAGAAGTTATCTCTAAGCAATTATAGTTCTGGCAGTCACAGAGAAAATTTTTTAAAAATAAAAAATGAAACTAACTAGCGATGACAGTTAACTAGATCCCTATGTGTATGCCATAGGCCCTCCCCCAACCAGTTGGCCTGCCTGGCTGTTCTATATGCATAATATATTATAACATGGGAAATTACTGTGAACTATTGTCTTTTAAAAAACTAATTATTTTTGGTGGGAATGAAAATGTTTATTTTTTTGCCCAAGACCCAAGAAAACATGTTAAGTAAGTAAAAAACTAATAGTGGAAGATGTCTACCCCTCCTTAGTACCTCATTAGAAATCGTTTTTGCTAGCTTCTTATCCTCCTTTACCATCTTTCTGGGACACTCTGATCCTCAGTGAAACAGCGGTTGAAGTTAGAGAAACAAAGTGAATGACAGCAGGAGGAGGGCCACCAGGATGAGACTCACCTTAGGCAACCAGTTGCATTTCGCAGCACCTGTGAGGAATGCAGCTGTATTTTCCGATCATCCTGAAGAGGTGAATTTTCCCAGCCTGAATGGGGGATAATCACGGCATTGGTCAACACTGCAAGAGTGTCCTGGATGATTGGCATTTTGAGTGCGTCGCAAGATGAGAGGTTCCAAAGGACTCCTGCAAGACACATATACACAGAGCTTTGGGATGGCCACTCTTTTTTTCTCATTTCCAAAGTGTTTTCCCTCATCAGGTTAACAGCATGGGCAGGACGGACGAAGAGAGGATGAGCACATGTCCTAGAGCATATCTTTAATTCCTTAACACCTGTGAGAACCCACTGAAGGGGCGTTGTGAAAATCTGACAAGTGGGCAGAGGACCTGTGTTATGATTGTCTTTGTGCCATCATGATGAGTAACAAGTTGGAGATCTGATCTGAATGGAGGATACCAACCAGACTTCTGTTTACTATTAATACAATGGGACCAAGTATCCAAAATCTAACCAAGATGGAAGAGCTGTGAAAGTTATCTGAGCTACAAACTAGTAGGACATCTTGGTTTTATCCCAGATCTCAATATGCACATATGGACTGTCGGATTGACTTGGCCTCCATTTAGAACCAGCCACCATTACGCGGGACCTTATGAAAATCCAGAACCAGGTCTGACGACAACGGGATCAACAAGGAATTTAAATTTACTGTCACTTGTGACAGCTTTGTCAGTTTTTCTCAGAAAGCAATGCTCGTGGAGGACCCAGAGATTGGTCTTCCTTATGTAACTAGGACAGAGAGCAGCAGAAAGTGGAGAGCATGTCTGCAGTGGACAGACTATAACCATCATTAATGTAGGCAGAGCAAAAGCAAAGGTCTTAGGTCAGGTGGAATTTTTTAGGCTTTTAAATATTTTTAAACAAAACCTTAAAATGGGATCAAGTTTAGAAAAACTCATCAGTATTGCATAGAAGTTATAATATTTGAAAATGTTTTTATTTTTTTCTTTTTAAAACAGTTTTTTAAATTAACATATAATGTATTATTTGTTTCAGGAGTACAGGTCTGTGATTCATCAGTGTTACACAATTCACAGCGCTCACCATAGTACATATCCTCCCCCTTTTAAGGTATTTTTTGTTATTGTTCAAAACAGAACACATAAAGGTAAAAGAAACAGAATTATAGTCTACTTTTTTATGAAAGAAAAATTGTATTTTCTCTCAAGACTAATCTAAGTAGACATTATCACTGCAGATACTGAGAATAAAATATCATGGTTATCTTTAGAAACACAACTTCCATCTTACTTGTTTAATAAGCTTTCAGTAAATTTTAAGACGAGATTGTGTTTCGTCTATTGTGTTAGGAATAGAACAAACAGAACACAGGTATTCCTGAAATTTATTAGTATCTTCATGGTATATGTTGAACTTATCAAGGGCATGAATAATATTAATCTGAAAGTTGATAATGTTGGATTGTTCATAACTGTAGGGACAGTTTTACATTGGTTCTATAAAAATGTGACTGTAGAGACAAACTCTTTTTCTTTTTTTTTTTTTTGAAGATTTTATTTATTTGTCAGAGAGAGAGAGAGAGCACAAGTAGAGGAAGTAGCAGACAGAGAAGCTGGCTCCCTGCTGAGCAAGGAGCCCGATGCGGGGCTTGAGCCCAGAACCCTGAGATCATGACCTGAGCCGAAGGCAGACGCTTCACGGACTGAGCCACCCAGGCGCCCCAAGACAAACTCTTTTCAACTGTCTTTCAAAATAACATTTGCTGGGAATTTTACTGAGGTAAATGCAAAGGAAATAAAATGTTTTTGGTGCCCATTACGTATAAATCAATCCTCTAGTACAGGGGTTTGGCTTGAGGGCAAATCCTGCCTGCTTGTTTTTGTAAATAAAGTTTTATTGGAACATAGCTCTGCCTGTTTATTTACATACTGTCTATGGCCCACAAGGGAAGAGTTGAATATAGTTTGACTATATGGCCCATAAAGCCTAAAAAATTTACTATCTGGCCCTTTACAGAAAGATTTTTCCCCACCCTGCTTTAGCATATAGACCATTTTCTATAAATTTCTGTGTGCAGGTTTGCATCGCCGTTGGTATTGTAAGTTGGGTACACAAAAAATGCTCAGTAGTACACAGAAAGTGCCCCAAAATATATTCTGATTCAGATGGATTTGAAATGCTATCAATATTATCATGTACATTTATCTTGTTTTAAATAATATATAAAGCTGTATATTCATTCAATTAAGAAATATTTTATTAAATTTTAGATAATCAAAATACATTCATTTCCAATCTTAGCAAAAATTCTTTTTTCTAATAAAATAGATTTGCAAACTTAAAAAGCACATTAAAATGAAATTAATGTCTATCCCAGTATTTGAAGGTAACTTTACAAAGTACCACATTCAAGGGTTTATGTCTATTCTTCTAAGTATACTATGCACACATACAGACAGAAAATTTAGATTTTTCATTCTGAAATCCTGATTTGAAAATATCAATCCATGAAAACTGAAGTATGTAGGTGCACCTGGGTGGCTCAGTTGGTTAAGCGTCTGCCTTCGGCTCAGGTCAAGATCCCAGGGTCCTGGGATCGAGTCCCACATTGGGCTCCTTCCTTACTGGGGAGTCTGCTTCTCCCTCTGCTCATGATCTCTCTCTCTCAAATAAATAAATAAATCTTTTAAAAAAAGAAAATTAGGGCATGTAAATGTTCTAAAATATGGGTGGTGTGTTTTGCTGTAAAATACATTTCCTCTAAAAGCTAAATAGCAAAAGAGAAATTTTTGCATTTTTACATGCAATGAATTTAAAAGAATCTAAAGGCATTCTATGATAATAAAGCAGTTTTTACTGTTTTCTTTTTTTTTTTTTAATTAGAGAGAGAGTGAGTGAGCATGGTGTTGGGGGTGGTGAGGACAGAGGGAGAGAGACAATCTCCAGCACAGTTCCCACTGAGCACCGATCCAGATGCGGGGCTCAATCTCACAATCCTGAGATCACAACCTGCGCCAAAATCAAGAGTCAGACCCTTAACTGACTGGGCCACCCAGGCACCCTTACTGGTTTCTAAAAATCAGAAAAAAAGGTCAGAAGAGGGGAAAATCAAAGGAAATGTAAAGGTCTAATCTAATATCTGATAGAAGTGAACAGATGGAAAGGAGATGGTCCAAGATAACTCTTTATTGGGCTCTTCTCTCCATTACTTCCCTCATTAATTCATTAACTAGGATAAGCTCATTCAGAATCGAGCACGGACAGGAGTCTCCTAGTTCCCATTTGCTGCATCTTTCCAGGCTGGCTCCATCTGTGTTTCACATTCCAGAGAGCTTATCACAGCGCTTGCCCCATCTCTGAACTTTCTATATTACTTCACATCTGCAACCCCCAAGTGCTTCCTGACCCATGAGAGCTACAGTGGACCTCTGATCAGAGGCTGCTTTTATCACCTCTGCTTGGGTGACGACTTGGTCAAGTGGATGTAATGTGGCAGAATTTCTTTTGGGGGGAATTCCGTCAACCGGTTGCAGGGAGCCCTCAAAACTTTGAGTTTGGGTTAGATTATCTGGACACAGAGACAAGCTTGAGTATAGAACCACAAGTTTCTGGGGCCGTTGGAGATAAACGCTGACATGCCTGGCAGAAGTCAAAAGTGGGTAACAGCCAAGAACTCTATAGCTGTCTTGCTACAGACAAACAGACAGACAGACAGACACACATCCATTAGTCCTGGCAGACGGGAGAGAGATTAGTGAGAAAAACGACCAAATCTGGGCATTCTCTATAAAGAAATGAAGAAATGGTTGTTCTGCTCACATTTCTCTTCACTCCTTCCTCTTTCTTCTGTGCTGGTTTAACATTTTTGTTCTTCTCTCTTTTGACATCCCTTTCTAATGGTGGAGCCCAATCCTTCTCCCTGTGCATGAGCACTGGACTTAGAGACTTGCTCTGATCCGCATAATATGGTGGAGGTGATGGTGGGTGGCTTCTGAGGCTGGGTCACAGAAAAGGCACTGTGGCTTCCTCCAAGCCCTATCTTGGATTGCTTGTTGAGGGGAAGCCTGCTCTCATACTGGGGGGACCTTCAAGTGATGCCCTGAAGAGGCCCATGTGGCAAAGAACGGGACCTCCAGCCAACGGCCACGGAAAGACCGCCTTGGGAGTGGGACCTCCAGCCCCAGCTAAGCCTTCAGATGATGCAGCCCCCTGAGGGATGCTGAGCCAGAACCACCCAGGTTTGTCACTCCTGGACTCTTGACACTCAGACACTGTATGGGGTCCCTTCTCCTTCCTCTCCTTTCTCTTTGTCTCTGGACTCATTCCCCCCCACCCTCCACAACACTTTTTTCTTAGCTACCCCTGTCATTATAACTTAGATCCACTTGTTCTCTTATCCTCTTCATAAAGTGTATTGTGAGAGAACAGAAAATCTAGGAAGGAGGATCTGGCTAAACACTGCAACTAAATAAAAAATGCATTTTGATTTAGATTATAAATGATGAACTTTTTTTTTCTTTTTTAGTACGTGTGCTGCTGAAGGGAGCACTCTGAGTGATTAACTTTTAAAAATGTATCCATCTTCATGTTTGCAATTTATTAAATGGCCACTTTCTTGAATGTGGAATAATCCTGTTTCATTTTTCCATTGCTGCTGTAACAAGTTACCACGGACATAGTGCTTAAAACAACACATATTTATTATCTTACAATTCTGCAGGTCTTAAGTCTAAAACAGATCAGCAGGGTGGTGCTCCTTCTGGAGGCTCTAAGAGAACTTCCTCGTCTTTTTTTTAAAGAAGATTTTATTTATTGATTTGAGAGAGAGAGATTACGAGAGCAGGAGTGGGCAGGGGGAGGGATGCAGGGCTTGATCCCAGAATCCTGAGATCATGACCTAAGCTGAAGGCAGATGCTTAACTAACTGAGCCACCCAGACGCCCCTGTCTTTTCTGACTTCTAAAGGTTTGCCTGTGCTCCTTGGCTTGAGGCCCTTCTCACTCTGACCTCAGCATCCATTATCATATTCCCTTCTCAGACTTTGATACCCCCGCCTCCCTGTTATAAGGATTGTTGTGATCTCATTGAGCCACCTGGGTAATCAGGGATAACCTTCCCATCCCAAGATCCTTAACTTAATCCCATCTGCAAAGCCCCTTCT